CCCTCCCACAGGTCTACTTGCTGTGTCCCTGAAGAACCTCCCTGAGATCCTCTCTGGTCCTCTTCTCTCCCAGCCCTCCAACTGCATAGCCTCCATGTGGATCCTCAAACACAGTGAGGGCCTGTGCTTGCTCTGCCCTGTGCCTGCAGTGTTCCTCACTAACATCTCTTTGTTCTTTGACTTTCTTTTCTTTTCTTTGTTCTCTTTGACTTTCTTCAACTTTTACTCAAATGTTACCTTCTCAATGAGCCACCTTTGGCAACATTGCCTATATTTTCAACCCACTCCCACCCCTGCACTTCTTATTTACCTTCCCTTCTTCATTTTTCTTTAACACACTACATATTTTATCTTGTTTAGCATCTCTGTTCTCAGTAAAATATGTGCTCCATGAGAGCAGACTTTTGTCTGTTTTGCTCACTGCTATATCCCTAGCACCTAAAACAGGGAATAGCACATAATAGATACTCAGTATTCATTGAATGATTTCTTGAATCAATTATGACCCATTTATTTGGACACTCTGTGTCAAGAATTGAACTTGGGATCAGGGACACAGACATGACAAGACTGTCCTGCTCTGTATACTTTTATTACAGTCTAGAAAACAGGATAATACCAGTTTCCTGTAAAATAAAGTATTTAAATGACACAGGGATTTTTTTTTTCCCCAGAGTAATTACATATATTCCTTTAATTTAATTCCAATTGTAAGATCTTTCTGGGGCTGTATCTAAGTAACTATACTTAACATATAGTGAGAATTTAAGAAAGAAATCCCTCTGTCAGTCATGATAACAATGTACATAGCATCTTCAAGCTTAACATTTGAAACTATTTCATATTTATCCTGAACTTACAGTAAACCTTCCTGTATGTCAGTACACTAGAGTGATGTCTAGTTTCTTATTTCTTATAATCAGGAAAAAAAATCACCTCTGTGTGTTGTGTGTGAGTCACTACACATGTGCAGACCACTTGAGTTTTGCTTTTCTAGGACTGTTAACTTGCTCCTAGGAGCTTTAGTCAGCTTCTTGGTGCACCTGCCCTTCGCCTTGTCTCTGCCTTGTGGTGCTCTAGCCCATTTCTTGGCAGGGAGAGAGAAAGGAACCAAAGAACTGGCTGGTGTATTTCCTCATGGTGTGTTCCCAGGTGCTGTGCTACCTGCGAGCTTTGTAATGGCCAGTTTTTTTAGAACTGCTATTTTTGGCACATTTGACCAGAACAGGAGAAAATTCTTTGTAAATTTGTATTTATGTTTGCTTTTGTCCCCTCAGGAGAAATCTCTCCCTGGTGTAGTGATGGCCCTTGTATGTAATGTATTTGACATGCTTTACCAGCTTGCCAACCTAGAGGAGCCAAGGTAAATAAAAATATTTATGAATCTTGATAGGAAGACATTTATTAAGATTAAGGAACCAAGTATCTTTTTACTTGAAATTTATTTTATTTTATTTTAAATTTATTTTAAATTTAAATTGCTCTGCTATAGTATGGCTTATGTGAAAAACATTTCAATTTGAAAACTTTCAGGATAACTCTACGAGTACGAAAGCTTCTGCTCTTGATACCCACTGATCCAGCTATACAGGAAGCCCTTGATCAACTTGATTCTTTAGGAAGAAAGGTATGAATATCTTGGATAATTACTTAACTGGTATGGGAATTTCCTGTTGATTCAATGACAATACAATATAAAATCAGATCAAGGCTGGCTGTTAAAACCTTTTTCTTAGCAATTTTTCTTACTCAGAAAAATGATTTTGCCATAAATGGAATTCAGAACCTTGATTATTAATCAATAATGACATCAAAGGGCTTTTGATATCATCTGCTTCTATTTCATTCATGTTATATGTTAGGAAACTAGAACCCATGGATATTAAGTGTGTTGCCCAATATCAGATTTTAGTTCTGATTCAGTTGAGAAGTTTTCTTCTTGAAAAGTCATCTTGAAGATGACTTTTGCATATATGTGAGTTGCTTACAAAAATGGATTATTTTTAAAATTTTCTTTACACTTGACATATAGATTTTATATGTTACATTTTTAAAATTTTTTTCTTTAGGAGTTTATGTATTGAAATTATTTATATTTACCAAATAAATTAATTTTAGATTAAAATTGTTAGAAAAATTCATTAGGAATTATATTTTAATGACTGAAGTTTATAGCAGCTCAAGGTCTCATCATTTATGGCCTATGTATTAATTTGAGGGATTGGTGTAATTGTAGAATATAACTATATAAAATACAGTGCTATGACATTTAAAAATTCTCAATACTGCCATTTCTACATTCTTTACTATAATTTTATTATAAGTATATAAAAGCTCAGATTTTTAGATCTGTGGAAACATAATGACTGTTACTGTTGCATAGAATACACTCTCGATGGCAGCATGTAGGATGGGAATACTACTGAGCACGCACAGTGTTCTGGAGTTTGATGTTTTGCCATTAATCACAAAGTGATACGTTTTTATAGGTTAATTTTTAGAATTCCATTTGTGTGGCTTAATGGGGAAAACAATAGTAAGATATGTGAAGGTAGCTGTTTACCTTTTTGTTTGTGTCTTTGTTAGGTTGACTCCCAGGTATTTGATTCTTTTTGTTTTAATTGAAAAGGGGATGGTTTTTATAACGTGGGCGCCGCGTCCAGCCGCGCGGCCGCTGCTGGGGCTCTGGCGTCCGGGGGCGCGCACGCGGCAGTGCAGGCGGCGGTGGCGAGGGCTCGCACAGAGGCTATTTTAAAGGTAATCCATCACCTGCACCTCTAAATCCTCATCTGCATTTTGCAGTAGGGTTGGTACCTGTGATCACTTCCTCTTGAAATACTGTCTTTATTTGGCTTTCAGTACTTACCTGACTTTTCCCTACTTCTCTGACTCTCTGTTTTGTCTCCTCTGCTGATTCTTGATCTCACCGGTCTATACAAAGGAGTTCCCTGACTCAGATCTTTGATCTGTCCTCTGTACTCAGTATCTTAGGAAGTACACCCCATTTCAAAGCTTTGTATATTCTTTGCACACTGATTACTCCCCAGTTTTTATCTTAGCTTGAAGTCCAGATATTGATCCAACTACTTTAATGTCTCTTCTTGAATGTGAATAGGCACCCCATCCTATTACAGCAAAGCAGAATTCCTGACCACTCCTTCATCTCTATCTCAAACCTCATCATCCCCCAATTGCCCTGCTTCAGATGATGGCACCTTTATTCTAATAGTTCTCGTGCCAGAATCCTTGCAGGCTTTCTTTTTCTCATACTGACATTCATCACAAATCTTTGACTCTACCTTTAACATATATCTAGATTCTGGATATATTTCTCCCCCTCCACAGCTTCCACACCAATCCAGGCAGCCATCATCCCTCACCTGGAGTGTTCGTGCATGGTCTGACTGGTATTACTACTTTTGCCTCATAGATGTTCAGTCTCTTATCTATATAGTGCCCAGCAGCCCATGATTTTTGTTAAACAAGTAACAATGTGCCACTCCTCAGCTCACATCCTTCAGCAAGTATCATCTCGCTTAGGGCAAGAGCCAGTCTTAAC